TCTCTCTACTCCTCCAGGCTCAATCTGTGAACCTGTGAACACATACACTGTACCACAAGTATGTGGATAATATTTCTGGATTATAATAAGTAAAAATACACATCTATACAATACTTGCAGGTATGCAAATGAATACATATTTATTACAAAGTTTCAAGCAATAAAACCCAATATCAGCAGGGGTGGTTAGATTTTCTGTAAAAGCTTCTGATATTCCTGATTTAGTGAAAACAGCTTTGGAAAGTGTGGGTTTGACAATCTTTAAGAGCTACACATCAATACTTGTTCAACAGGGTGGCTTTCTCCCACCTTACCGAAGTCCAGGATCTTTCTAGCATGAAGGAAATCCAGATATCAGAACAAGTCTGAACATGCCACTCAGCAGCAGAACAGCTGACACAACCCTCCTTCTAATAAAAACATCTAGTTCTACAGAATTCACATTGCTCCAATGGATGTCCTCACCTCCAATTAAAAACAAGAGATGCTACATTTAAAAGATAATATTTAGAGAATCCCTCACAAAGGTTTAAGTGCTTGCTCCAAAATGTTAAAAGTAACGATTTTTAAAAGTTTATATGGCACTGTACCACTGAGCAATCAAAAATAATTTTAGCACTTTCACCTTGCTAATCACAAGGTTCCTCCTATCTAGTGAGTAGTGTACTCACTGAAGAGACATACCAAAGCCTGCAGAGAATAAGGGGATTCAGCAACTTAAATCTAGCAAAGAGGGTTTCCCAAGTATCTGCCACAACCTCACCTCCTCTTTACCATCACAGCCACTACTACCCTAACTCAACCTTCACCTCCTCTTTCTGGACCATTGCCAACTATCTTACCTGCTCCTTCCAAAACATCATCTACTCAAATCCCCTACTCCCAGGGATTTCCAATCCTAACATACCCTTTCTTACCCCCAGTGGTGCTAGGGACTAAACCTGGGGTCTCAGGCATGCTAGGCAAGTCCTCTACCTCTGAACTACATCCCCAACCCTTTTTTTAATCGTCATCATTATCATCATCTTGAGACAGGTGCTCCCTAAATTCCCATGCTGGCCTTAAACTTGAAATCCTCCTGCCTCACCCTCCTGAGGGGCTGGGATTACAGACTGCTCCACTGCCACCGGGTCTGGCTCAAAAACAATGAAACCTTTCAGTAGCTCCTCGGTGTTTAAAGAATGATGTCCTCCTCAACTCCAGCACAAATAATGCCTTCCTGAGACTCCCCCCTACTCCCTAAACCTCCTGCCATTCCCAAAGGTAACTCAGCCCTTCTCAGGCACACCCTCCCCTCCCTGCCTTTCTTAACTGAGGAGTACAGCATTAGCACAGTGGCTGGAGGAGGGGGCTCTCACAGTTAGCTCCTCTTACCACCAAGGTCTCTGGGTTGAGAGTACCCTACTGCTCAACCTCCAAGGACAGATAGGGTCAGACATGTTCCATCTTACATTCATAAAATCTACCATCCCTTCCTTGAACGAGCCCTGATTTCAGACACTTCACCTGCTGAATTCTAAGCTCTGTAACAACTACTATTAATGGATTTCCCCCTTGACCCCTCACTGCAGTTCTTTCAAGATTCAGAATTTTCTTTTGGAGTCTGGCCATATGCCCACAAAATACAAAATAGCAGTAATTACCAAGAAAACCAAAAAATGGTGAAACAAATACTTAAACAATAAAATCCAAACAACATGAAAACAAATTTGATTTATTTCTGGCTTTAATTTGTCACGTTATCATTCATAAAAAAAATGGAATTCTATTTATTCAACCTGGGGAATCAGTAAACAGACATACAGATCATTGTGCCACAGACACTTCTTTTATTTGATACTCTGAATGTAATATTCTGACACAAATTCACAAAAAAAATTGGGGGATATTTGTACTGGGGATCAACACAGGGCCTAGGAAGTTGTTAGGCAAGTTGTCTACCACTGAGCTCAACCCCATAAAAAATTTTTTAAAGCTTTAATTTTTGAGTATCCTTTCCTATGAGCCCTTAAAAACATAAAGCTAGAAATAAACCTCTCTGAACAGAATATAATGCTTTTCGACTATTTTTTAAGATAAAAGTTTTATGCCATTAAATATACCCAACCATTTACCATTTTTTTCAGAGGTAATTTAAAAACTAGACACTATCCCCCCAAAATGTACTTTTCATAGAACATATCAAAACTCAGAAACTCGACTCATTTACTCCATATAAATTACAGTCCCCTCAAAATAAGCAACCTGTCATTGAAAAAACAAAAATGTAGAAACTTAAACACTGAAATATATCAGTACTACAGGTTGTTCAGCTTACAGGTGTTTTACCTGACAATGTTTTTCTTAAAAAAAATTTAGTAATAAATTAACTGCTATAAGTTAACTCAAGTGTTAAGAATCTAATTCCCAAACCAACAATCAGCCAACAAAAATCCTAAATAAACCCCTATGCATAATGGTAAATGACTCTAGAAATTATACATTTAAAAAGAAAAGAGAGATGTTTGTCTCTACTGAAGACAGTAGATTAAAGTTCCATGTACCAGGTCATAATCATTGAAGAACTTCTTGTGATATTAACAAGTACCAAGACATGTTTAAGACAATTAGGAAAATATTAATGCTGGATATTTGATATTTTCTAAATGTGATAATGACATTGTGGTTATGTTAAAAGAAAAAAATAAATGAACTGAAGTATTTAAGGGTAAAATAGTACCTGCGGTCGACCTTAAAATAAAGGAGGGGAGGAGGGCTGGGGATATAGATCAGTTGGTAAAGTGCTTGCCTTTCATGCACAGGCCCTGGGTTCAATACTCAGCACCACAAAAATAAACAAATAAAGAAAGAAAGAAGGGGAGGAAGATACAGGTGAAACAGGTCAGTCATGGATTGATAACCGTTAAACTGAACTGTAATTCTCTTTGTGTATATCTGAAAATTTCCAAAATGGTAAAATTAACCAGCAAAATCTCAAGTACTACTTTATTCTGGATTATATGCAACTGCACAGATTTTTATAACTCCTTGGAGGTTTGCATAATTAAAGAATTTCTACTCAAATGTACAGACTTTGTAGTCAGAGCACTATTGTCATTGTCACTATCCCAAATACTTCCCAAATGTAGTCTCAGTAAATCTCTTTCAATAGCCTGAGCAGTAAAGGACAAGGAAGGAAAGAGGAAATGAGAAGGGGAAACAACAATGAACCTGCCCGAGCTGTTACCATAAAGAGCACCCATCTCTTAAAACCAATTAATCCACACTGGGGTTTTATTCTTTCCTTTTTCTTATGGTTTCAACAAGGGCTCCAGCCTTCTAACTTACTTCACTGCCCTTAACACATATGCTGACCGACCGAGGAATATACAAACAATCCAACTACTGTGTAACCAGGTCAAAAACAAGCTTTGGCTAACTCACTTGGAAGAGTATACTCACCACTTAGATTTGGCCAGAAAAACTGGGTTAGGGGAAAAAAAAAAAAAAACCGCCTGGTGGTTAGACAAACATTGGGGCTGGGGAAAATGTCTTTAAGCCAGTTACCAGTCACTCAGTGAGTTGCAACACAATCTTTTCCAAAATTTTCCAAAGCCTTCCAAATTCTGTTGAGCCCAGCAGGAAGAGCTAACAGGGCTTCTTTTCAAATTCAAAAATCTGGCCCCAGCCCCAACAGTTAACCAACAAAACACATGCTAATTCACTTGAGATCACCTAAGAATACGGACTCAAGTTCAGACCACAGGCCAGTCAGTAGTTGCCCAGACCAGGGGAAGTTGGGGCTGGGGAGAAATGTTCAAGTGATAGATAAGGCTATTCATAAAGCAGAAAGGAGACAATAAGATCCACACTGCATTTGGCCTAAGACAAAGTCTACAGTAAGCCCTCCAACTCCCCCGTTTTGAATGAGACAATGACAATTCTTCAATGAACCACAAAGCCCTGCTTCATAAGATAATTTTTCTCAAGCCCAACCTTGCACCCACTCTTAACAGCTAGAAAACTCCCCCAGTGCAGATAACTTTCAGAAAACGTTTAGCAATAAGAAAACAAACCGAGACAGGGAGAATTTAACATTGTTTTGAATTTTCAAGGCCTGTGCCTCCCTCACCTACAGCTCTTTCATAATCTCCAGAATGTGCACTGGATAAAAATGAACAACACACTGTTAGTCACATCAGATGTCAGCTACTCAGTGCAGACTCACAGTGTCCAGATTCTAGTTTCATTGGTGGGGGGAAGGGGTTGATAAAATATAAATACAAAGAATGTAGGTAAAGAAAGAGAAAGACCTGGGGTGGGTGTGAAACCAGGGCATCCTCTCTCCTCCCCGCTCTCCCTCATCTCTGTTTCAATTACACAGCTGTCAAACAGGTTATTCCTGGAATTCATACTTTATAATCCCCACACTGTAATTCTTCCTGCTCCTGTTGCCCAAACATACACTCCTCCCTGCTTCCCCAAAATATGTTTCCATCAGTAGAGGGTAAGATAGCCAAAGTTGTTATAAAGTAGTCCCAGGCAACACCAAACTCCCCACCTTGAGCACTTGGCAGCACTCAAACGAAGAAACAAGACAATTTTCTTGACAATTTTCAAGAAAGCCAAGACAGTGGTTTAGGATAATCATAGACAAGGCCTGCCTATCCTGAATTTTAATTGACACACAACTCAGGAAGTCAGATTTGGAGCCAAAGGAAAAAAAAAAATCAGGTTGTCTTGGGGGGGGGGGGATCCTTTTCCATTTTGCTGAATTAAAGTGCATGCCTAACTGTGTAGCTTATTTCCTTATCTCAAAGCCAGGAAATGAGGTCTTTTAAGGCCAGTGAGAATGCAAACTCGATGTTTAAAAAGCAAAGGGATGCCAGGCGAAACCCCTTTCCCAACTTCAGCCCGGCGGCGTGGCCTCCAGTCAGCAGCGGATGGCTCACCCTCTCCCCGGTCCCCCCACAAGAAGTTTCAACAGGCCACGGGAAACAAAGAAGGCGCCCCACACCGACCTTATAGACTTGTCCATAGGTGCCATTTCCAACCACTTCCACCAGCTCAAAAATCCCAGCAGGGTCCTGGAGAGAAAGGAGGGGAGAGGAGAGCATTTAGAAGAGACCCAAAATGAATCCATAAAGCCGGGGCCATCGGAGAGAAAGGGCGGTGACAAAGAGGTGGGCTTCGCCCCACTCGGCCCCCGTGCGCGGGGGCGGCGGCCGCGCCGAGGGTCGCGCCCGGGTCCCCGCACTCGCCGAACGGCAGACAAAGGGCCGCCGCGCCCGCGGCTCTGCCCACGGCGCCGCCCGAGCGCCCGGCCGGCCAGGGCGGGTCCCGCTGCCCGCTGCCCGCGCGGGCCCACTCACCCGCAGGGAGGAGAGGTCGATGTCCACCAGACTTTTTGCAGGGGAGTCGTTCGCCATTTTTCCTGCTGGCTACCCCCAAAACGCAGGCTAACGCTCGATCTCGCTGGGGCCCTGCGGAGTCGGCCGCGGGCCAGGCCGCCGACGGCGCTGCTCGCGCGCAGCCGGGCCGCCGGGACTCTCCTCGCGGGGCCGGGGGCGGCGGCGGCGGCGGCGGGACGGCCGCGCTCTCGGCCGCTCGCGGCTCTCGGCCGCCGGGCCGCGCGGAGGGCGGGCGGAGCGTGCGCGGCGACGGCGCTCACACCATGGCGCGGGCCGCTCGGCCCCCGGGCGTCGCCCGCCGCCTCAGGCCCCGGCGCCCGCGCCCCGCGCGCCTCGAGGACGGGCCCGGAGCGAGGGGCCGCGGCRCCGCCGAGAGTTGAGCGAGTGAGCGCGAGGCAGCGAGACAAAGATCACCCGGGGGGCGGGGGCGGGGGCGGGCGGGAGGCGGGGGGCGGCGGCGCGGGAGGAGGAGAAACGGGACACCAAAAATATATTCCGAGGAGAGAGAAAACAGCTCCCCCTCTCCTTCCCCGGCAGGAAAAGCGGGCGGAAACGCACTCACGCCCCGAAGCCCCGGCGGGGAGGCGCGGGGCGCGGCGCCCGCGCGGCGTGAATATTCATCAGGGGTGGGGCCCGAACAATGGCCGGGCGGCGGGCGGCGGGCGGCGGGCGGCGGGCCGCGGCCGGGACTCGACGCCCGGCGCCCGGGGTGGGGCCTCGGCGCCCGGCCCGCTCCGCGCTCCCGAGACGCCGGGCCCGGGAGACGGCGGGCGGGGGTTCCCCCCGGGGAGGTGCTCGGCCGAGGAAACGCCCAGCTCGCACTCACCCGGAACGCCCGAACGTGGAGCGGGGCCCCGAAGCTGGAGGCGACGGCCCCTGGGGTCCCCCCCCGCCCCGGGCCGCGGAGGGGGCGAGCTGGGTGTTCCCTCCCTCCTCACACCCCTCCCCCATCCCCCACCACCTCCAGGTGGAGGGCCCTGAAGACCCCCGCTTCCGTTTCCCGACACCGTTTTCCCTTCCTTTCTCTTTTCCAGGCGACGTTGGTGACAGGGTGGTGGTTATCCGGGCCTCGCCGAGTGTCGCCTGGCTGCCCGGCCGTTTCTGACTGCGCTCAGAGCGTGAGCACTCGGTCTGGGGTCGCCAGCTCTCACCCGTGTTTTGTACCTGGAGGTCACTAAGGGTCAACACACAGGCTTCTTCCGGCCACCTGGGAAGCCAGTCAGGACCTGGGCCATGGGTTGAATCAGAGTCTTCTCTATCACATTCCTGCATCAGCCAAAAATGTCCATTGGCCGCCTATTACTTGACTGCAGGTGTTCAAGAGGAATCCCCAGGAGGTTTGGTAAAAGCAGTCCCACCCCCAGGCTCCGATTCTGGAGTTCTTGAATGGGCCTGAGAACGTGCATTTCTGACAGGTTCGCAAAGGAAACTCACCTTGCTGTTACAGGAACGTAGGCTGAGAACGGGTCCCACCGGGATGAAAAGCCAAGGCCTTTCATAACTGGGTTTCACAAAGATCACGCTTTCATTGTCGTCATTAACTGCCAATTCTTGAGGGTTTTATGTACCTCATCCAATTTACTGCACTGGGATAAGGAAACTAAAGGACTACTGGAAGAWAAAAGAATGAACCCAAATCCTTAAAAGCATAACCTGGAAGGGGAGCAGGCATTGCSTCTTGGCCATCTCTTTCCAAAATCCAAGTCTGATTTAGCCATGTTAATCTGCTCTACCCACAATACGTGTTGCACTCTCCTTCTTCCTGACAGTTTAGTTTCTAGGATTTTTGACATGAGACTCTCTTGTAAGACTCCTACTAGTCACAGATTAGGAAAAATCGCTGTTACCAGAATGTTTCTATATATTTATTAATGCTTTCAAGTAATTTTTATTTTTATCCATCAACAGCAATGGAATTGACTATGAATACAGGTTAAATAATTTCTTTAGAGAACAGACTGGTGCACTTATGAACTTTCAGACCATATTTTAATAGTGTTTACTGTTAATACTAGGTACACATATTACCTCATCATTTTTCACATTAACCTACTGGTACTCTTATCTTTCTCACTTTACACATTAGAAAACCAATACCTAAAAAAATTAAGTAACTTGCTCAGTGTGCACAGTGGGTACGCATACAGAAGTGCCAGCCCCACGCCCCCCCCCCCAGGGAGCTCCTTCTACTGGTTCAACACTAAACCCATGGCATGACCCACCTCAGACCACCCCTCTTTCTCTCAAGTTCTGTCACCTCAAGCCCAGCTCAGAACTATCTCTTCTATAGAGTTTCTCTAAATCAAGTATCTTTTTCCCATATCATCATTGGAACACTTATTTCTCACTTTTGAGTCAGAAACTGGTCTCAAAGAACAGTACAGCCTTTGGCTTAGCCATTGCCCAGGATATTAGGAAGAACAACACAAGTCTGTCCTCAGAGAGCTTGCACTCTGATAATGAGCATACAGCAGTTTCATAAATAGCCAGAGAACAAGGCCAAACACTGTAAATCTGAGCAAGATGGAAAGAGCACTAAACCGGTCTGGTGTTAAGTATGCTGGATGTGGGGCAAAACTGAACTGGATTTGAATGCTCATTCTATTATTTGTCAGTTGTGCAACCTTGCTCATGTTGCTTAATTTCTGAGCATCTATTTCCTCTTCTGTATACTAGATGAAAACTAGAGATAAGAACAAGAAATAAGAACTTAGGCCAAGGTAATAACACCTGGTGACAGGGAATACAAGAGGTCTGGGGATGGTGGATTCTCTAAGACTTGATATCTGATGGTGTGCCAGAAGGTGGCACAGACAAGGAGGTGAAAGACTTGTTCACAATTGCAAGATGATGTTCTGAGCAGGGGAAAAGATGGGGATTGCTGAGAAGTAGTGAAGAAGGAAGGTTTGAACAGCAAACTAAAGTTAGTACACTTTTCACAGTAGAATAATAGATACCTGCCCAMCTTGAAAGTCCATTCCAGCTCCAAGGGTAGGGGCAGTGTTTTCAGTGAACAGCCATGTATTAGATCAGGCTACCATAGCAAAATACCATATTCTGGGTGGCTTAAATATAGTACCCCCTTCACCTTATTCATGATTTCACTTTCTGAGGTTCAGTTATCTGAGCTCAACTGTGGTCTGAATATATTAAATGGAAAACTCCAGAAATAAATTTTATAAATCTTACTTGTTATAATATATTGTTATAATTGTTCTGCTTTATTGCTATTATTAATTTTTATTGTGCTTAATTTATAAATTAAACTTTATCATAAGTATGTGTGTTTAGGGTAAGAACATAGTATACGTAGGATTAGTACATATGTACATAGTACACAGTACTATGGTTTCAGGAGTTCACGGGGAATCTTAGAAAGTATCCCAGATACAGATAAGGGGGGGCTGCTGTAACAGACATTTATTTTCTTGCAGTTCTGGAGTTTAAAAGTTCAAGATCAAAGCTATGTATCATTCCGTTTTGGATGAAAGTTCTCTTCCTGGCTTGCACACAGCCACCTGCTCCCTACATACATATATGACTTTTCCTTGGGGCATACTCAAGGAGACAGGGATGCACTTGCTGGTATCTCTTCCTATAAGGGTACCAATGCTATCYGTAGTGGCTTTATCCTTATGACCTAGTCCAGCCTTTATTACTTCCTTAAAGGCCCTGTCTCCAGATAATCACATGAGAGGTTAGAGCTTCAACACATGAACAGTGGGGTTGCAGGGACAAACTCAGTGTRTAACAAGCCTGTGGTACACAGTGCCAGAAAGGACCTTGTCCTTAAGAATCTATTTGAGGACACAAAGCCATCCAAAAAGATAATCAAGGTAGTTGATATATTGGAAAATAAACACCAATTTGGCATTTTAGATCAGGGGAGAGGAGTGGGGAATAGCTTGCTTGGGCAAAGAATGAAAAAGAAAAGGATGAAAAGTCTGCCCACCCTGGGCAGAGGACTCGGTTCAGAGAGCCCTGAAAGACAGTGTGTGTTCGTCGACTTTCTTTCACTGTAACAAGTCCCTGAAATACTTGGCTTTTATAAAGGAAAGGCTTATTTTTGGCTCAGAGATGTGGAGGTTTGAGTACATGATTGTTTGGTCCTGTTTCTTTTGGGCCTGTGGCAAGATAACATGGCAGCAAACACATGGTTGGAGCAAAATCATTCATCTCATGGCAGCTGGAAGCTGAGGAGTAGGATTCCACTATCCCCTTCAAGGGCTGGTATGGTTTAGATACAAGGTATTCCCCAAAAGTTAATGTGTGAGACAATTAAGAATTTTCAGAAGTGAAATAATTGGGTTATGAGAGCCTTAGCATCATCAGAGCATTCATCCACTGGTACTGACTAACTGGGTGGTAATTACAGGCAGATAGGGTGTGACTGCAAGAAGTCGGTCACCGGGGGTTTGCTTTAAGGGTTTATATTTTGTCCAGGGTGATCGGAACACTCTCACCCCCCCCCCTACCTGATCTCTCCCTCTCCCTCTCCCAGTCTCCCCCACCCCAGCCCCTCTCTGATTCCTGCTGGCCATGTCCTGGCTGCTTTCCTCTACCACACACTTCTGCCATGATATTCCGCCTCACCTTGGGCCCATGGCTATGAAATTGGTTCTCTATGGACTGGGACTTCTGAAGCTGTGAGCCCCTAGACTTTTCTTCCTCTSATTTTTCTTGTCATGTCTTTTAGTCTTAGCATCAAAAAAGCTGACTAGAACAAGGGACACCCCAATGCCATAAGAGTTTACACTAGACCCCACCTCTTACAGTTCCTACCACTTCTGAATGGCACACCCTGGGATCCTTAACATATGGGGCTTTGAGGGACACTTAAGATCCAAACTATAACATAATTGAGACAGTTTAAGTGGAGACAAACTGAGGTCAGGGGTTGAAAACAGAATCCAGACTATCAGTCACATCAAGAAGTTCTCTGGTCACTCAGGACCAGAGTAGCATTTGTCGTGGTTTATTTTGTACTACCATAATAGAATACCTGAGACTGGGTCACTAATAAAGAACAGAGACATTTCTTACAGTTGTAGAGGACAAAACCCCAAGTTCAAGGGGCYCTCATCTGGCAAGGACCTTCTTACTATATCATCTGATAGTAGAAGGCAGAAAGGAGAGAGAGAGAGAGWGTGTGTGTGTGTTTCTGTGTACACCCACAAGTGCATGGCAGAGAGAAACAGAGATGGGAAGAAGGGTCCAAGCACATGACTTTTATCAGGAACCCACTCCCACAGTAACAGTCCACTCCTGTGATATCAGCCTGTTGTGTTCCTCACGACTAAAACACTCAGGGTCACTCCAGGTGAACTGGGCTGCACGAAATAATCACACAAGAGCAGAGATGCTTTTTCCTTTGGGTTCTGTGAAGGCTC